TTGGTTTTTCAGGTATTGTCCATTTTTCTCAGCTTAGGAACTTTTATTCAAAAATAAGGTCATGTTTGAAATCAGTACACTAAACTGCATCGAATAGTGTATAAAATGTCTAATTTTTGAGGAAAGAGCGTTTCAACGAAATTTTTGGCAAAGGGGGACGTCAGGTGTTTTGGGCTGGAAAAAGTTTTTTTTGGAATATATATCTTAAAGGTTTCGTGGATCATTTGTAAACTTTTAATGGTTTAACCTTTATTTACTGAATCTATAGGAGTTCGTAGATCAAAAGGTTTTTTGCTCAATGTACGAAACTACTGTCATTAAAAAAATCCGTGTGTGTGTGATCATTTTTTGAATAGCTCGAGAATAATAAGAGATAGAGACCTCCGGTTTTCACTGTTGGAAGAGGAGATTGGGGAGCATCTGATCATGTAAAATCTATTAAAATCAAAATAGACGCCCCCAGGTCTCCTCTTTCCAACCGTGAAAACCGCAGGTCTCTATCTCTTATCATTCTCGAGTTATTCAAAAAATGGTCACACGTACGGGTTTTCTTAATGGACAGTAGGAAAGGTTTCATATTTAATTTGGGGAATGCAAGAAAGTTTCGTAGATAAATACAAAACCTATTAAGATACGCTCGGAACCTGTGTAGACTTTGGCAACATTCATTTTGTTTTCCGCTGACATAATACAGCTGTTCTTTGGCATTGTTATTGTCTATATAGCCTTTAGCATGCCCGCTTCTTAGTCGTAATCTTATACCAGATAAAATGGGCCACGTTTGTTTTGAAGTTTTTGGGCACTGAAGCATATGTGAGAGAAAGAGCGAGTCCATTCTAGGCTCAAAAGATAGAGGNCGGATGATCGCCATCGAACCGGGAGGGATTATGGGGGAGGGATTGTGGATAAACAACAATAGTTCTACCTAAAGATAGAAAATCAGATCGCATTCTAGGCTCAAAAGATAGAGGATGTCCTGATGTACAACACACAATAACTTTTGGTATTTACATAGTATTTCATAATCTAAAAAACAACAAATAAGGAAGGTAAGTAAAGACTAAAGCTGCGATGGAAAGAATCGACTTTAGTTTTTCTTGTATTTGACCTTTCTCATCACTTAAGAACATTTCAGTTTGCTACCTATTAGAGCTGCATAGTATAACAATTTTGTCGTTATCTAATTCGTCCTCACTGGAAAAACGACATTGTTCCTATCATTTTTTTTGTAAATGATCGGCATTGTAAAAATGATGGATGAGTTTTATATCGTATTAGTTACTGTATACACTATGAATTTGTTATTAGTGCAAACGATAGTTAATTTTCTATTCTGCAAATACCGTTTGATGCATACTTTGCTTCACAGCTTTTTCTGTTTAGTAACAAAACTAAAAATGGTTATTGACAAAGTTGTAGGCCAACATAGTATGTCTTTTGCGAAAAATTTTCATCATAACGATAGTCCAGAAATCATCGAATATTTTCATCCGTATCCTATTCACTTGGCTTTTATTTTTCGCGTTACAAAGCATTTGAATATTGTCAAAAACAAGATTTCTTTCTAATAGCATAGCAGTTTTCATTTTTACTTGCCTTCATTGTTTGTTGTTTTTTAGATTACGAAATACTATGTAAATATCAAAGTTATTGTGTACAACAGAAAATTCGCTACCTCGAGTCGAGAACGGACTCTTGAACCTAGGTGAGTGTCCAAAAAATTAAACAAAAGGTCCTGCTAAACGATCGAGCCGTTTTTCAGAATAAAAAAGTACCAGTTTCCCGCGAAAACTTTTAAAGATTTCGAATGCGTTTCAAAAGTATACCTTCAAAGCTTCGGTAGAGACCCATTTTTTTTTAAAGAGTACAAACTGAAATAGTTTGCAAGTCTGTAAAAAGTTGTATTAGGCTATAGCAGAAGCCGAAATTCGTAGCTCATTTTAATACAGAGTAATTAACTTCTTTTGACAAAACTTTAAATTGAACAAAACATTTGAATATATGAGATTGTAGAACCATCCGAGTTCTATAGAGTGAGACGTAATACGACTCTGACAAATATTCTGTTCAATTATGACAAATTCAACTCACTATTGTAAGTACATATACAAATAACCATGTGTTATAAGTTTTATTATTTTTCCGCACTGGCTTTTTTTATACAAAAATTTTCAAATATATGAAATAAAACTTGGAAGGTTCCTCTATCAAACAAAAAAACAACCTTGAAGTTTGGTTAAGAAATGACGGAGTTATTTTTTCTGGTTAGTTCAAATTAATTAAAAAAATTCTAATAGAATAGTGAAAGATGGTTAAGTGTTATGTGAGCCTGTTAAGAGAAACTTTAGTTGTACAATTTTTTCCTGTATGGAAATGGTTTTGCACACAATAAACATTTGACACATAGTGCTTATCAAGCATCAAGTTGTTGCGTATATGTCATGTTAGCAGTATTCATTGGTGCATTTATTTATAATACAAATCTACAAAAAAAGCATTTAGAGAACCCAATAATTTTTTAATTTTTTTAATCGCATAATCACGTCTAGCAGACAACATTAACCATATCCTGCCGTTTTGAACTCGTTCTGATGCTCTTCGAGTGAATTATGAACTTTTCAATGTTAGTTGAAAACAGCCTGAAAACCCTAATTGTCATAAAACTTGGTTTTTACTAGGTTTTAAAATCTTTTTCTCAAAAAAAAAAAATATTGTCACGAATGTCAGCATAATCGATTATCTACAAGTCACTCGTTTTCGTACAAAAGTGGTAACTGAAACTAATTTAAAATAAATATTTATTCGTGCTTTAATATGCGTTATTTTCGGTTAAAATCTTGTTGTAAGTTGAAATATAACTTCTATGATAAGCTTTGCATGCTTTAATGTTTGTCGTACATCGCTTGCTTGTTCGTACAATGGATACTCTCAGACAACAGAAGATAAAAATAAAAATGAGTAGACTGTTTTTTTCTTATCCAAATTTGGGAAAAATCACGTACTTGTTTAACGTGTCTTCGATCATTATCAAATGTTTTCATGAATATATTCATGATCTGCCAATTGGACATCTATCTGATATCTTTTTGCAGAAAAAATTGAATATCGGTTCCTAATTATCGAAGACATATTAAACAAGTACGTGATTTTTTCTTGAATTTGAATTTGAAAAGTATGTCAACATCAGTGACTATCAGTGTTATTTACTGAACGAAAAAAAATAGAAGACCAGGTCGTCTCATATTCTCATGGAACGGTTAAAGAAGAGGTGGATGGTACTATTTTTTTACACCAATTCTTTGATCGTATTTTTGTTTCGATTGAGAGTTGCACACTTATCATAAAAAAAAATTATATTTGTAATAACATAACAAATATCCACTTTATTTGAACAACTTGAATAAAATTGTTTATTGTACCTACATTACAAAATATTGTCTGTGTACCTATGTCATCTTCAGGGGTGAGCGTATGATTATTTATACAACCCAAATAATAATTACTAATATTGATATATCCAGCGAATATATGTTAATAGTTTTCCTGGATCTGTTGCCACAAGATATATACAATTTTCTATCTTAGTCAGACTTGTACTATTATTAATGATGCTCGATAGTAAGAAAGGTGGTTGTAAATGATGGAAATGTACATGTATGCTATAGTGTACTATAGATTATCATCATTTAGACAAATGATCGATCCATTGTTGTGTGATGAATACACTTGAACACAGATGATGATAAGTTGAATGAATTTTTCCTATTTAACGTATAAGTAAGAACAGTGACATTCGAGATTGTGTAAATATCTACTACATAGTTTAAGATATTTTGATAAAGACAGTGAATCAAACAGAGTAGTTTTTGTCCGTCGTAAAACAGCATTATAAACAGTCAGAACGTACAGTGTTACTGCTAATAAAATGACATATAATCATGTCGTTTGTCTCTCATATCGGACATCTTCATCCGTGGATGCTGTACTTTTAATCTGATTAAATTCAGCGATTTTTGTACGGATAAATCATATATAGGCCATATTGTGTGCTAAGTTGAGGTTAACAATTTCTACTAGATGTAACATAGAAACAATGGATATATACTTTAGTGTCGTTTTCAATTAAATAGTTATTTTAAAATATTGATATGGATGCTTCGACGTAGTTCTATCCACTTTATATAAGACAAGTGTAGGCAACTTTTGACTCTATACATTTTGTAGAACTCATATGTTACTTAAAATCCACGACTGACTTTTTAATAAAAGTCATTGGAAATTGGTTTTCGAGTTACTTTTGAAAAAATGAACTATTTTGGCTTTAGAAATCTTATCAAACCCTATTATCTTTCCAAGAAACTACCCAGTGGAACTTTCGGAAATAACTGAAAATTAATGTGAACTAATTTAATCAGACCTTTTTAAATTAGTTCGCATTAATTTCCAATTATTTCCAAAAGTTCCAATAGGTAACTGTTTTCTTGAAACAGGACATACCAGACATCTAAGGGTGGAACTTGAGGGTAGGTTCTTTTAATGGCTGTTAAGATACTGAAATCTAATCTTGATTATCTTTTATGGGGAAAATGGAAAAATAACAAAATACCAAGGAAAAAGCGAAGAGAAACGAACAAAAACAAAACAACAAATTTACAGAAGCAATGCCTTACTTAATTTTTTTAGACGACCTTTACTTTGTCTCTTACCTAATGGTTGGCAATAAGTTTTGTTGCTAACTTGATACATATTGAATATAATGGCTAATCCTACTAAATGTTTGCAGATGTGTTGTTTGAGACTAATTGGACATGTATACGATGTTAGTAGTGCTACTAACTAACATGATGCTTGCCATCGAACAAAAACATCGAAGGACAATCACTGACCAGATTGATACACATCCAGCCAAACGGGTGGTGTGATTGTTGCCGTTGATGATGGAACAGTATAAAATGAATTAAACCAATGAAATATATCTGTACGATTTATATTTAAAGTCCATTTATAGACGTTCAGTTCCGTTGCAGCCGGTATACTTGCAACAAGAGCAAAGAGTGATGTAACTTGTAAATATGTTGTGGATCGAATTTGTTGAAATAGTTGTTTTGCTATAAAAACCAAAAACATTATCAATATCGTCAATCATATAAAAAAGGTACAAAAGCGGAATGCTTGCCGTCATTGTGTTGACTATACTAGTTTTGCAAATCAAAAACCGAGAAAATTTCTGGCCTGTCCTTTCAACATTCATACGTTACTAAATTTTTTGTTTCTGTTAAAGCAGTATTTGAATGATCTTGGATTTGTGGTGGACTGTGATAGTCCACATTTAACATTTGGATACCGATTTTCGAACGGGTAATAGTAACCGTGTTGTCGCATTACGTTCCTCTTCTTGATATTCGTGTACATTTCTGAACATAACGGACACTGTTTGTGGACTGCATAATCACTATCCAGCACAATTATATGAATTCTATACTCACTGCATTTGAACGAATATTTTGTATGACTCTTTAAATTGGATCGACGATATTGGCACGCGTTGTATTGAGATTTAATTAAATCTTTTGCTTCCTCATATAACTCGACTGTGCACCTGTGCACAATTCATTCCAATCTTATTTCGACATCGTTTTGTTGGTATTGAGAACAGTTTTCTCACGCTATTTATGACCATTCTGTGTTGGTTGACAACACAATTTTGATCTAAGGAAGTCAAGAGAGATTTTCTTTGAGCATTTTGATTCTTTTCGATTGACTAAATCGTTTTGTGATCTGAAGTTTTATTTTTTGATGATCAAAAAAATGGATACCCCTCTTTCTACGCTAATAATACATCTGACATGTACCTTGAAGGGAACAGTTTTTTCGGTACTGAGTTAGGCCAAATATTGGATTGATTAACATCAGGCTATTGCTGCTTATTTTTCAGTTGTATCTAATAAAACATCTTACATCTGGAACTACATGATATATTTGGACACAGCATAAGAAACTACACTAATCTGTATGCTTCACTCATTGGTCAGAGACGCAGTTTTAAGAGGTAGTCGGGTGACTAACAAAGCACAACATCCCTTTGTGTCAATCTTTCTATTATCGTATATATAAATACAGAAAATTGAATTTTTAACTCTCAATTTGTCGTGAATCAGATAGAACTCTTCTAGATGTATTTACTAATATATAGTTCGTTAAAGATCAAGCTTTATTTCATAGAACACGACACGTGAATAAAGGATGATATCCACGTGTAATTGGAACAGTATTTTACTTTTGAATACTGCAGTCAGACTCCAATACACTAGCTGTTAGTAGATGTTAAAGAACTTTTTAAGGTGTAATCTTCTTTACTTTCATAGAAAAAAGTGAAGGACAAGTACAGCAGCATATATAACCGATGAAAAAAGGAGTTCTGTTTATAAAACTAGTTGTGAGTATCGGTTAATAGTCAATCTGACCTATGTTATACTAGATAAATCAAAGATTATTCATTAGTATATAATAGTCAATCAAATATCGGATGATTAGAAAGGGAAAAATGTATCTTACGATCATAGTCATGATATGAGACGAATGTCTCGTTTTGAACAGGTTTCGTTGGATATATCCATCGACAAGCACTCAACAGACTTGAAGGATCTAATGAATGTTAGACACCATGGGGCAATAAAACATGATAAATCGATTTCAAGTCTGATGTAGACTTGTTCTTTATTTGTTTTTTAAACGGTTAACAAAAATGATTTCACAAACAAATTGAATTCATTGACTGATCAAAGAAAACTACTCTAAAACGTCAAGCTTTCTTCTTTCGCTTTGCTTCCTTTATGCCTTCAACTAAACGAACCTCTTGTACACTAAAAAACACGTTCACGCAACCCATAGGGTACAAATTAATTGAATTTTTGCTTCTCTTGTCTTAACATATGATCGACTAATAAATAAAGGCCTCTACTAATATCAGTTTTGTTATTAGATATGATTAAACACGAGAAAAATCATCTTTTCTTTTATATCTCTTTGACAAATTTAGTTTTCTCTTTTTTAGTTTTTATTTAACATATATTGTTCTGGTTTCGATTCTATTTATTGATTTTTCGATAATGATACATGGACGGTGTCGTCTTTATGCGAACTATCAAAAGAAATAACTCAAAATACGTAGATTTCCTTCCGGTATTCAAAATATAGAAATGATTTCTGTATGTGTCTCTCTTTCTCTAATAAACAAGTATATAGTTTCTTCTTCTCCTTGTTTTTCTTGTGTTAGTTTTTTGAAGAAATAGAGAGGCGAAAAATAAAAGTCAAATAGTAGTCGTAGTGACTTATGGAACTACCACACATAAGTAGAAAGATTTCTTTTGTGTTATTGTATTTCTCTAATAAAAAAAAAGAAAAGACGAACAAAAACATATAAAAATAACAAATAAAATATATATGTAACAAAAACGGTAAGTGACTCTAGTGTTAAGTGATGTTCAGAAATAAAACTGCTAAGTTTTAAATTTTCTATTGTTTTTTTTTACAAACCTGTTTAAATACTAAAAAAGACAGTTTATCAAAAAATCATCCATGATAAGTTGCAACAAGAAAAGTAAGAAATGCTTTATATCTTTAATTTTCAAATAACAATAAATTACGATGAGATTTTGTTTTCAATAACTGTAGACTCGATAACGGCAAATATCTATTTCTAGATCTGAAATAATGACGTGTCCTGTTCGACACCATTGAAAAATAATTATTACAATATATTCTCTTATTTATCACGATATGTCTGATAATTGTTTTACTTAAGGAAAGAAACTCTTTAAAATTGTAAATAAAAAAAGATTATCAATTATAGTATGCTATATGCCAGAAGAATAGTAGTAACGATGGAAGAGAGAGAAAAAGGCTCGTATGATAATCGTGAAACAATCATCCTAGTATAGCATTTCATTATTTTGTAATAAAAAGAAGTTTTAATAGAAACAGATGTAAAGTTTTTGAAATATTTTAGTAAGAAACTTTTTAATTATTGTTGACAAAAGGCTAAAATATACATATTTTTTTAGTTGCTTACGTAAATTCATTTGTATTAAAACTATACTTTCAACTTAGCTTTGTTAACTTCTTTTTATCACATAATCATACCTTTTCCTGCAATTAATAATAAAAACAATGCTCATTGTTATTTTTTTGACGGGGACACTTTTAATAACAAATCAAAGAACGCCTTTTTTTTACTCGGACTTGAAATTAACAATAAATAACAATCAATATGCCATGAGCATTTAAAATGACAAATCTATTCCAGCGATTACTGAGTCGTTTGTGCGATTTGAAATTTATCGAATTGAGAAAAGCAATCATTGGATAATTCTAACACTTGATATATATAAATCGTACGCTTATTGAGATACATTATTATTTTGAACAACCAGATCGTTGTCGAATGTTTGTTTGTTAATTGAATGTAAACAGAATAAAGTATTCATAACCAAATAAAGTGCATGGAAAAATTTGTTATCTTATGAATTTTTCCAGTACGTATTCTACGGAAGTTTACCTTTTTTTTTTACAAGAATTATAGTAAATAAGTATATACGGAAAAAAGATTCTGTTCTCGACAAATAACTTCTCTATGTTTCGGAAAAGGTTTCTTTATTTTACTACTGCTCTTTTGAACGAGACACATGTAGCAGTTTTCAGTTTTTTTTATTAAAAAAAAAAGGAATGAGTCGTTTATTTCACAAAATTCAAATGGTCAGTATTACTAGATTTTTAAGCCGACTTAGTGGAGCGACCAGTCGGCTTATTACTTTTCTTCAGAGCCACTTTATGGTCGACTTTTTCAAAAACTAGTAGACAGTGCTTATACTGAATATGGCATAACTGGACTTATTTTTCCTCTATTATGTGTAGTTTTTGTGCAAACAATCGTGGAAAAGTAGTGTTTGAAAGTTGGGACTTCGAAAATTTTCCAAGTATGACATAATTAATATGTGATGTACAGAGAAAACTCTATCGTTTCTCCTATCAGATAATTAATCGTCACGTGATTGAATAATGCCTGAGTAAATACTATAGTGTTTAATATGATTAAAACGATAGCAGAATGTATAGTAGGATAATGAATCAGCTGATATGTTAATATGAATAATATGCCGTAGAAGATATATAAACAGTTATGATCTTCTGGATGTTCTAATTTTGTCTTTTTACCGTTTCACTTAGTCGACTTTCCAATCTTCCCGAAGGGTAGCTGGTCTCTAGTTCTTTCTTTCCACACTGTGTTTTCCTGAGTCAAACGCTCTCGTTCTCGATTATCTCTGACGGTACAAATTTCGAAAAAAGATGGCTGGGAAGAACAAAAACCGATGATGACACATCTGAAGTTATTTTTTGGATATTTGCTTTAGGTATCATATAATTGGCGTCATAAAATGAGTATATTTTTGAAACAACTCTATCGTTTCTCCTATCAGTGAGTATAGACTTTGTAGTGAATATAGACTATAATACTTGATATAATGAAAGCTATAACAGAATGTATGATAGGATAATGAATCAGCTGATACGATAATGTGAATAATATGTTGTAGAAGGTAAATATAGATGAATAAAATTCGAAACATATTTTTGTTACTGAAGGAGAAAACACTAGGTTCTTTCACTGAAATGTTTCCAATCTAAATTAATTATCTAAATAACTTACGTAGTTTATATTATAGGTAGAAGCTAACTGGTTCCACTCGGCTTCTAATCTTCGCAGTGCGCAGTTAGAATCTAGTTAATTTTCTTTTTCGTTATGTCTAGTGGACAACTATTTGTAACATAAATGAGGATAGATGATGCATACAAATTTTCAAACTGAAATCTCAATTTTTATCCATTCTAAATATTTCGTGACAATTCACCAATCTTTTTATTGTCTCACACAAAAGAATTCACGTAATTTAAAGATTTAAAGTTATATAGCCAAATAGTTCTAGATTTAACGCATGAATTATGTTGTTGAATTCAATTATCAAACTTTATTATTCATCTTTTGTTAAAGTAAGGTAATATTATTTGCATGAATAATTATAGACTAAAATGTTTTAATCAAAATCTTATTATAAAAATTTATATATTTA